GGGAAAATTAGGTTTGGATTATGAGTTTAGGCTATATGCCCTTTGTTTTACCTTAGTCCAGACATTATCATTCACTGGAGTTTATCAATCTACCAATGCCTGCCTCTCCATGAGGTGGTTTTTTTGCAAGATGTTTTTATTAAAACTTGTAGTTTGAGGGTTCCACAACCCCCTGCTATTTCTAATGAGATGGTTGTTGTTCCTCCTGAGGTACAGGCATAGGTTGTTGTTCTCTAGACATGGATGCATCTTCTCCATCCCCGTGATATTCTTGATTCTAGTTCATGATAGATATTGTTTTCCTGGTGTTGATAATGTTAGAAGGGTGGAAATAGTTGTTTATCTCTTCCAATAGGTGGCACCAATATGTTCTTTCTGAGATATAAGATAAAATTTGATGATCCTTTTGAGTCTTCACTAGTACTTTTATTATGAGTTTTCTAGTATCGGTCTTCTTTGTGATCCAACGGGTAAAAGATGGTGTGCACCTTCAAGAGCCCAATGCTGAAGTTAGTAATAAGATCACAAGGATTATGCAAGATGGATGGGGAGGTGTATCTAAAGGCTTAGATCTTATATTTCTACATAGGTTAAGTTGTTATTTTAAGGCCTATGAGTCTCAACCCAAGAGGGTGGGACATAGACGTTAGGAAGAAACTTGTGGAGGAAGCTCTACTTGGGTAGTGGGTATAGAGCTATACATAGTCAGGATGCTTTGCTGGTTGACCACTGGCCATTCTAATCGTCCATAACACCATCCATGAAAAGTTCTATGAAATCCTAAGAATTATGATTTTTGTGCTTTATTTATGAGTATTGTGATTCGACCAAATTTATGATCTAATTGATGAGTTACTAATAATCTACCCTACAGAATCATGGTTATCCAAATATAAAAATTTTCTATAATTGTTATCCAATATGAGTTTTCTATACGAATTGTCATAATATGCCAATATTGAAAGGTGCTTACTAGCGGTGTTAACTTGTACTAGTAATCGTTGTTGTGTGAAAGCTCACTTCTACAATTTAATTTTTGTTCGGTCCGGGTGTATCGTCAATATACTTCCGAAGGGTGTTGATTGTATATAGGATCAATACACTTATAGATATTTATGAGAGAGATACCATATGGATATATGGATCACTATACACCTGTATGATACGGCGATAGCCAAAATGTGGTGTGTGTGCACAGCGATGCCAGTAAAGTAGGTTCAAAAGTGTGTACCTGAAATCTTCACATTTATTTATAGTATTTACCTAATGGGTTTAGGCCTTGGGGTTTTTCAGGTTGTTAGCTTAGCTCATATGGTTGGTGGAATAGGGATCTTATTCCTTATGGGACGTTTGGTAGAAGAGATATATTTTTTTTTACCAGGAAAAAAAGATTTCCGAAAATATAGTGAAATTTTTTTTTCCCTAGTTACGAAAAGGTGTTTGGAAGGCCAATTTTTTTTTGAAAAAGTTGAGTTAATTTTACTGATGTTATGTTTGGTTGATTGTAAAATATTGATGAGAATTTGAACCGAAATGACAAATTTACCCATTTTTACACATCTGATATATTATATAAGGGCATTTTTGTCTCAACACGTGAAAATGTGTTTCCCAGTTGGTGGAAAAATAATAATACCATGGGTGGGATGAGATTATTTTTTTTCCATGTGTAGTTAAAAACAGAAATGATGGGAAGAATACTATGCCGGGATAATTTTACTATTACTCATACCAAAATAAAATAAAAATCCCCACCCCACTTTCCCTGGATTTCCCCCAAAATACTCGTACCAAACACCCCTTAATTCTTTGATAGTTAGCTTGTTGAGATATGCCTCTTCATCTTATGTTAGTGGGGTTGTTGACATACGAGGATCCATAACAATTTTAGAGTTATTACAGCCCAAAAATTGTTGGCTTAGTCAAGGTGACCATGGGTGTTACATTACATAGTTTTCGATGGATAGTCAGCTTACTTTTCCTTTTTTGCTATTTTTTTCTACACAGTTAATGGATTATAAACGCACTTTCTATTAACTTCTTGCATTGGAGATATAAGTTCACATTTTTAATTTGACTATTTAATTTGCTTGAAATTTTAAGATCTTTTTTGGAACTTATGTTTTGTTTGTCTTTCTGTCCACTGTGGAAAAATAATTGATGTGATTCATATTTGGAATTCCATTGAAATTTGGAACATCTATGCTATATAGGTTTGCATTATTACTTGAAAATATTTATTACTATGGCTTTTTAATATTGTGATTTATAGAAATGGAAAAAGGAGGTGGGAGCAATAGTGAACAACCAAGGAGGAACGATGAAGGCACACAAAATTCGGAAGATGTTTCTCAAATGACAGAAAAATGTAACAGTGAAACGATCATGAATAACGATGACTTGCCAGAAACTGTTTTAATGGAAATTCTTGTGCATCTTCCGATAAAATCTTTGTTCAGGTTCAGAACTGTCTCCAAGCGTTGGAATCAACTGCTTTCCGATCCTTTTTTCTCTCGCTGCTATAGCTGTCGTTGTTATCACCCTCATAAGCAAGTTCTCTGGGCCAAGTACTATAATGGCTCTGGTTGAGAATCACTCCAAACTTCAATTGTTCCTATCGTTGTTGATTGGTTGCTCCCAGCATCACTATACAACAGCTAACTAAGAATCTTTGTTTGTTTGTAGACTTGTTCTATTTAAATTGGGCATCAACTATCTATGATGGGTTTCTTTCTCATTGAGAGTCATAACATTTTAGTATATGTTACATTGTTTCATCAAAATTCAAAACTCTATAACTAGTAGATGTTACAGTGTTTGTTATGTTTCAATTTTCTCCTTTAGAATGCAATAGCATGAATTTTTGATTTGTAACCAAGTCATCTTAAAATATTTGTGCTACATTTGGTTGGGTTATGTTATGTGTGTGCTTTCATTACAAGGGAAATTCTAATTAGACAACCAACTTTATCCCTTTTAAAGGACATATTTGGTGCATAGTATAAGATAAAGCCTGATAGTATAAGACCTGATAGTATAAGACCTGATTGTATAAAACCTGATTGAATTTTAATACTATCCAGCGTTTGGCACGGTATTGTATAAAATAATATATTGTATAAGATAATATCATCTAGTATTTGGTAATGCACTGTATAATACTATATAGGATAAAAATAAATATTTTTAATAAAAATATCCTTTAATAAAGAATTTATATAATTCTTTAAAAAATGTCATATGATATTAATTTTTATAAAAATAAAAATATTCAATATTTTAAAAATGAATATATTGAAAAATTAATTTTTATTTTAATATTAAAATAATATATTAATTTTTGAGAATTACATTGGTCACTGGTCAACGATGTTAATACATCAATCTCTTATCATGCATTATCCCTCTCCCTTAGGCCGGATTAAGTTATACATCATTTTGATATATTAAGGGATCCTGCTGTATAAGTTTATACTATACGGTGATCACACCAAACAACTGATAATGTCATAACATATAGTATAAACTTATACTATCATGCCTTAGATACAAATTATAGAAGCACTTATATTAAAAATTGCTAGTATTAGAAATCGCTTATTCTTCCATTTAATTTTTTTTATAAACTGATAATTATTAGGTTTTAGAATAAGTGATACTTGAAATTTTCCTAGTCTGAGAAGAATTACCGACATTTTTAATAATTTTTTTGAAAAAATTAAGGAAATAATTGTTTTTTTATTTGAAATAATGTTATTTTTAAATATAATATCAACCTATGAGTCATGCGAGAGAACTTTCAGTAGCACCATCATATTGATCACTACTTTACACAAGATTTTGGTGCTCCTGATTCATCCAATGATTTTTTAGTTTTTTATTAAGGGAGTGACATTTTTTTTTTTGGGGCTTCTCTCTCCTCTCTTCTCAGTCTCTCCTCTCCCTCTCTTTCTTCCGGCTTTGAGTGAGGATGCCTTATAAGAGTACAAAAATAAAGCTCTTCAAATACATAGATAAAATATTATAGTTATTTTTTTTCTCTATCTTAAGGAACTATTTCAGCTGATATGGCGCACTCCTATTAGCCGGTTATATATACCACAATTACACTAAAAATATTTCCAAGTCATAAACCTTATTCATGAAAAAACTTATGGTGCGATAGAGGAACCAAATATTTGGTGCGAAAATACTATTGTAACTATGTATTACATACATAATCATAATATTAAATTTCTATTATTTTTTTCATTTTTTTCTCTCTCTTTAAAAATTATATGAGCTAATGTGTGCTTTTTCCAATGATCAGTTGCACCCATTATTTGGTGCCTCTATTGCACCAAAAGTTTTCTCCTTATCCTTAGAGTATTATGGGGTGTTTGGTTCAGGAAATTTTTTTGAAATAGTAGTGAAATGAGATAGATAGAGAAATGATTGGAAAGATAGATAAAGTGAGATAGGTAGAAAAATGTAAAAAAAAGTTGTTTGGTGAGAAAAAATTTTACGAGGAAAATTAGGTAACTTTATGAAATCAACAGTGCATTAAAAGCCAAATAACCGATTTTCTGAAAAATCCCACTTCAAATTGGATTTCTAAACAATGTGGATATCTATGTTTCTCATAAATCCAGAAAAATTGGATAGATGGGTTTTTGGTGAAAAACGTTGAAACAAACATGGTGTTTCTAAAAGTCATACTATATTCGCTGAAAAGCTCCCAACCAAACACCACCTTAGTTCCATATGCCTCCCATGTGAAACTGCCATGTGTCGTAAACAGATGAAATTTGAAATTAATTTCAAAAAAAATAACCACAATATAAATTGTGCCTAATTTCATAAGACTAGTTCCGCATGAAAAACACTTTCCATTAAGGATTGCTACGAAATTGGCTAATTATTTCTCAAATATATTTGGAGGCGACAGGTGGGAATTCCGAACGAATAGGATACGAAACTTACTGTGTTATATTATTATTATTATTATATTTGCAACCAGAATTATTTGAGAAATTATTTTTAGAAATTGAATCAAAATTACCGACATCCTAATAATACATATGAAACCTGACATAGCTATTGTTAATAAACCCTATCCCTTTAGTTCATTTGGGTAAAGCCCATTATACAGCCCAGGACTTGATAGAGGGTCCATAACAACACTCTGCAACCGAACAACTTCTATGATATCGACTCAGCGACTTGAACTTGTATCCGATGCCATGAATTGTTTAATATCCCTCTCAAGTTCCAAATGTCTTCAACCTTTTCAGGTTGGACATTTGCAGCTGAATCTACCTGCAAATCAACGTAAGGTATTAATCACATATTATAAGAGATTTCTTTTTCTTTTTTTTTTGAAATATTCCAATTGATTCATTGCTTCGCAACTAATCCGATTCAGGACGGGTCCAGATACAAGAGATTTCCAACTCCAATAGAGTGGTTTATGAATTGCTTATCTAATACTATCAACCTTTACATATTAAATTAGACTCTGCCCTCTTGAAATTAGACTTCATTTTCTTAAAGTGGTTAAATCTCCTAAACTAATTAATTTACCTTCAAAGAATAACATTTTCGTTTTTAAGCTTTTTTCTTTTAAATCTTAACTTGAAATTCTTGTAAATGAAGTATACATATCAATCCCTATTTAACAAATTAAATTACTTACTCCTTAGAATGAAAAATCTCTTTACATTTCTCTTTCTCTATTAAACACGTGATTACTTTGTCGAAAACTACCTATCCTTTCTTTCTATTTTAATTTTTCTTTTACGTTTAGTATTGCTAATTCACTTGATGCTTTCCTATTTCTTCTCATTATCATGAGTTACAAATAAAGGTAGATAATTTTTTAAATTTGTTTAATTTACTTAATAACTTCACTATCAAATATTTCGAAAAATTTATCTCTGTTTATGATATTAGAATACATTCTCTTGAACGTGATTTAATCTTAGTCCACTCTTTCTTAAATAAATTCGTATGTCAATTTTAATTTTTCTTCATTTAAATTTTTAATTCAATTTTTTCAATAAAATATACGTATATAATTTTTCACTTTTTTCTTTTAAATTTATATTTTTTGGATTTTATCTAAATTATTTGTTCATATTTTCCTTATAATTTTAAACATTTTTTCATAAATATTTTTCTTTTAATTTATATTTTTAAAATTTCAGCTATTTTTAAAACTATTTTGTATAATATATGGTATACATCCTAATCTTCTTTCTAATTTAAATAATTTTTATATTTTTATCTATACTATCTTAGATTCTACTAACTTAATTATTTTTTGTTAATAATTTTAAACTTTATTAAATATTTTTTGTCTTTTGATTACAATTTTTTATATTATTTTTTGTTAATAATTTTAAACTTTATTAAATATTTTTTGTCTTTTGATTACGATTTTTTATATTTTACCTAATTTCAAGAAGAAAAAATCCATACAACTTACTAGTTATAAAATATAAGCAGAGGAGTAAAAGGGAATAAAGTTGAGTATAAGTGACAATTGTTTTGTTGCATTCCAAGGTTATGAAAGTGGGAAACTAAAAATAAGGACATATGATTTAAAATAAACCCATGTCACCTCAAGTTGAAAAGGCTATGGTTATTTGTCCAATTTTATATAGTCATATGATTTAAAATTATGCCCAAAATATATTACTTCAAAAGTTCAGGGTATGAATGACAATTAAGAAAGAGTACTATTTCTTCTCATTCTTGGCTCATAATAATAATTAAGAGAGAGATGGGAGATTCCCAAAACGGTATAGTCTTTAATTTTATTCATTTCTTACCCATGTATCCATTTTTATTAAAACCGGACCGGCCCGGTAACCGGCCCATCAATCGGTCTGGTTTTGACATTGGACCGTTTAAGTATGTGACCCAGGTTTGACCCAGTGACCCGGTGATAGACCCTGGTTCAACCGGTTTAGGAGCGCCACTTCAAACACTAGACCACCATCATCAGTTGAATAAAATACACCTTTTAATATATTTATTATATAACTATTAAATTAAGAGAATTAATTCAAAAATTGCATCCAATGCGATTCGAACTCCTTCCATTGAGGATATACAACATAGCAAATACTACTAAACTATATCAGGTTATTGTTTAGATGACACCACTCAAAATATTTATTATATAATTAAGTATAAAATATAAATTTATATATATATATATATATATATATATATATATATATATCCGGTTCATGCGGTTCAACCAGTGACCCACCAGTGACCCACCGGTTGAACCATTGATCCAGTGACCCGGTACCTCAGCCAGATCAATGACCGGTCCGGTTCTAATAACATTGCATGTATCCCACTAACCAAGAATTGATTGAAATTGTAATCCTCCTTATTAAGCTTAACTAGTTATCAGAAGTGATTTGCTCTATCAAGACACTACTCCGTTGGTTACAAAGGATAGAATCATGAAAATTAACAGAAGAAATGTTACATACCGCTTTTGCAATAATCTCAGTGCTGTGATGAATATCAGCTGTGACATCAAATAGCACCCATGCCCATTTGTCACTCATGTTTTCATCATCAGGTATGTAGGGAATGCCACTTTTCTGAAACCTTGAGGCTTCCATCCAAGTTTTTCCTCCATCAACAGACACATCTACTCTCTCAATGCCTCTGCCACCACCTGATGCTGCATATCCACTAATTTTTACCTACGTACACCAATATGTGACAGTTAGGATTTCAGTCAATTATCTCAATTCTTAAATTAGATTTGGAAACATAAATTTTAAAGCAAATACAATGATACAGTTAACACTTGAAAATCTTGGTCAGAGTTCCAAGCGGGCATGCCATGTAAAATAAGATCAAGATAAAAAGTAGAACATATTCTCTTTAACCAGAAATTTTGAGTTCAAGTCGAGAGAATGAAAAAAATAATATTCGGGGAGTCACCCTTTATAATAGTCTGACAATGCTTGAATCGAATTAATGATATAATCTATGAACCGGTGAATATATAAAAAATAAAATAAAAATAAAATACCTAATTTGACACATTTGTGGATTTTCATGGTGAATAACAGAAGCACATTCATGCATAGAATAGCTTAATACACCTTTGAATCATGATCACACAAACTAACCTTCCCAGGCTTTATTGTGCACATATCTTCTAGAGAACATATAACACACTGCCACAGTGAAATCACAAATATTAGTTACAAAAGTTTTATTTAAAAAATGCATTGACTTTGTGTCCAGCCCATTGGGACCTAATTATGCAGCTTGTAACAATTTTAATGTGAGCAATTTGCTTCAAGGATATATAAGATATTTTTCTTTTTCTTTACAAAATTATTTAGGTGAGCAAAGGACTAATCAGAATACCTGAACAGGGAAATCCATTTGAGGTCTCCTGGTTGACCAATTAATGTTTCCCCAATCTACTGATGGCGGAAACATTTTGTAGTCTCTTTGCACGAAAAATCCCTGACACATCATAATGTTAAATTCTAGGACATTCTGAAAAGGAATATTTGGTTATTTCATGGTAATTTTATATCATATATTAGACCTGGCATTCTTCTGTAATGATATTGATAGCTTCCAGCCATTTAACAGACCGAGCTCCAATGACACCAGGAACAACCACACGTAATGGATACCCATGATCCCTTGTAAGAGGCTAAAGGAAAGCAACAATATATTAAAGTGAGATGAGAATATCAGACTACAATAACATCAGAACCAAAAAATAAATAAATAAATAAATAATAAAAACCATAAAACAAATGAAAAAAAAAAAAATCTCCTGCAAATTGTTGAATTAGCGCTGAAAGTAATAATGGATAATTCTTTACACCGGAAAGACAAAAGTTTAAAGTATTTATGTTTGAGAAAAAATGGTATGTATCGCACTCTCTAGTATACTTCTGTCATAGTTAGGAGTGGTAATTTCCAACAAGATACGAGAAATTTGTGTTCGAATACAACCTGTTTTCAAATTTCTATTGTTTGTGTTGGCAAAAATTGATACTAAGAAATTTGTGTTGTGTTGTATAACAACCTGCAAACGCAAAATTGACTTTGTTAATCTTCTTACCAGTTATCCGTATCGCGTGGTATCGTGTTAGCATGCAACATTAGTAAAATCAATATTCAATATATAACTTATCATTTTGTGTCAATCAGCATGATAAATGCACTTTAAGGTTGGCAAGTTATATGAGTCGTCGTGTCAATCCGCATAATAAGTAACACGTTTTGAGGTTGTCGGATTATTTGTGTTGTGTCGTGACCCGTGTGTTAACCCGCAAAACAAAAGAATCGTATTTGTATTTTCGAATTTGTATTATGTTCATGTTCAGTCTCATGTTCTTGTTAAATTCGTATCCCCTTGTCATAGTTTAGTCCTATAGCTTGGCAACCCATTTTCCGATAGATAAATTTATAGGTAAAGTAGGTGTGACAGTTGAGGACACGTTATGAATAATTAGGTTCCAACAAAAAAGAAAGGAAACACCCGTGTAACAAAAATGCATTGTATTGGTCTCAGTTTTTTTGCTGAATTTATTGATATCTGCATCTCCTCTCGTAAAAATATGATAAGCAAGTAGCGTGGCAATAAATCAGTCTATGATTTTTATTATTAGTTTCATTAAGATAGTAATGAAAGCCAAGACACACAAATTTTGAAACCAAGAAAGTACAAAACAACAACATCCCATATTTACTTACTTCTCCATTCATTTCATAAGCAAGTAGAACATCTGCTTCAGGATTTGTAGCCTGACTTAGCGGGATTGATGCTTTGTAAGGGCCTCCATTTTCCTCCTATTGTTTTTCAAGATTCACAGAAACAAAAAAAAAATTACTCTCCATGAATGAAATACGTAATAAGAAAGAATTCAACATCTCTGAGGTACATTTACAAGCCACAGCCATTACCTTACACTTATCAATGCTTACAAATTCAACATGTTTTCCTCCAAATTGAGTGGTCCTCGTCAACTTCGGTACTCCAACAAGTTCAAGAACATCACTCAATTTGGCACCACCCCAAACAGCTGAGACAGAAAAATGTAATTAAACAACGATTATAAGTTTAAGACATATTAGATGAAACATATCAGACGCTAGCTAACCAAGGAAATAAAAACCAGGTGAATAATGGAGGACAAATATAAGAATATATTTCTATATATTAAGTTGTTACCTTAACGACTTTTAATAGTTTTTATATTTCTCTATCACGCCCCCTCATATAAAAGCTCACTGAGTTTGAAGAGTGGACAATACATCAAATCTGGCTATTGCGCTAAGTAACTATTATTAATAGAATGAAGGGTGGTGAGATCGAACTCATAACTCTGTAATCATGGAAGCTCTAATACCATGTAAACAATTATTTCAACCCAACAACAACTTAAGTTGTTAAGCGAATTTTTTTTTTAATGATTTTTATATTTCTATATCACAGATTTTTTTGTTAAAAGAATTAAAAAATGCCAGAGAGCCAGTGTTCCAAAAATGTTAATACTAACCATTTCCAATAGCAGAAACATCCCAGCCAACACCCTTCACCGTTTTAGTCTTGCTCATAGCAGTCCTTCTATTTCCTGCACACTAAGAAACCAACAGATGGAAAATCAAATTCATTTGTAGGATGTATCCAACAGCAAACCAAAACAACCTGGTTCTTCCATGCAAGCCTATACCAACTGATAAATGTAGTATGAACTTATAAGTTACATACAATCTGACAAACCTGTAGTGTGGCAGTGACATTGTACTTCGGAAGCATCCTGTTATCAAATAACAAGGTAAATTCCCAGTTTGAAACACAATTTATAGGAGACACATATTTATACCATTGGATATTCCCAAACCAGCACTTACTTGATATCTTTCATAAAAAGCTGTTTGGGATTTTCTATCAAACCAGATATGGACACACAGTATCTGCTCTGCCAAACATGTCATCACATAATATAAATTTCCTCAATAGTGAACAACGTTGACAAAAGAAGAGGTAAAACTTCACAAGATCAACATATGACCTTTCCACGTCATCAACTACCGGTATAGGACCATGATTTCGCTTGTAAAAGAAATCTGAAGGAGTCAAATATGAGGAAATCAAAGCAGAACGTGGTGGCTCAGCATTGAAAGGTTCCTGAGGAGTACAGCAAAATGGACTTGAGATGCAGATAACCAAAAACAAAATATGTAATTTGTAAATGAAATAACACAGGGTTTTGTGCTTTTTAATCATGAGAATTGTTAGTTGATAGGTAACAATTTTTCTTTTATTATCTTTATGTTTAATGAAGAGATTCATTGTCGGGTTGATCCGCTTGCTAGGAGGTATATTTTTCTTTTTCTAAAAGTATTTTTTTTGTAACATATGTGAGACTAATTATAGAGGACAGCGCTCTCAAAACCATATTCTTTACAAGGTTCGACTCGAGACTTTGATTAAGCAGAAATAAACTTCTTACTCTTTGAACCATTGGTTATTGTATCGTTGGGATATATAAGCCCACTATGTTCCCTTTGAAGACGATATCACTGTATGGATGAAACCTCTAACAAAGGTAAAAATCAAGCTAGAAAGCACTATTCCAAGTATGTTGCAAGCAGATAACAATGGAAGGTTGGATGTGTGTAAGAGTGTGAGTTAATACATTTGGGCATAATAACGATAGATGCCCTCCTTGTTTGTGGAGGGGTCTATTTATAGAGGGAGGTGCTTTGGTCTTATGTGGATTGGTGTGGAGAGGGTCAACTCTCCTTGGGGTTAGCTTAAGGTGGCAGACACTGCTATGATAGCAGTGATGCACTCTCTGCGCCTAACGATGTCAGCATGCGACAAAGGGCAGTTGCTACTTATAGTACCTGGGGCGGTATCTCTGGGGGCTACAATCCCAAGACGAGACATTTTCGTGTCTCATCTTGAGAGCGTCATCACCTAGAGATTTGGGCTTGAGCCTTTGGGCCATTATGACGTTGGGTTATCCGAACCGTTATAAAAGTATGTTTCAATACATACATGAGCTTCAAATTATGCACAAGTTAATTGTATTGCTACTGTGTCTACCTGCATTTAATTGTATCATTACTGTTTTTCTCTTCTTTTTAAGTTTATGAAATACGTTAACATCATATTTTATTATGAAGTGAAATTTTATGTTGACTCCACTGATAACAAAGTAAATTCAAATTATTTAGTAGGACAATTTGGCTTAATAATAAAAAGTTAATGCGTCGTAACAAACGTGCTTATTATGCTTTGCTTATCTGTATACAATACAATTAATGTGACTTATCAAAGAACGAACCTTGAGAAAATTGATAAGAATCATACGAAAGGAAATGAAATAGGAATAGGATAAAAGGAATGCAATATTTGTTATATGGTTATAGAAAAGGAAATAAATTGTAAAAATAAATAAATAAGTATATAAAAAGCGAAAAGGTTGCCTTGGAGTTAATTTGAAGAGATGAATGACGAGGAGGTTCTGCGGAATAATTGGAGGGGCCTGTGATTCCTGGCATTCTTCTATGATGTCTCTGAAACAACACACGAGGTTCGGTTGGAGATGGTGGCAACAACAACTGCAACTTCTACGGTGAATTTGTAACATTCGCCATTGGTTGAGGATGATGCTTTGTGAATTGTGACAGTGCATGGTTGTTTGTTGTTGGTCCCATTCAGGCATTTACGATCAAGATCCAACGGTGACGGAAGGCAGCGTGGAAATGCGCGCCACGTGGAGCATTTGGATTCTGCTGACGTTGTGTTGGCATTTCCACCAACCACTTTATTTCGTTACCATTGGTTCTCCTTCTTTCCTATCTTTGTCCTTTTAGGTTTAGTTTTATATATATATATATATATATATATATATATATATATAAACCATGTGTACGGAGGCAATCATGTTTGAGGCGAATCTAGGATAAAGGCTTTAAAATCCTTTCTAAAGATGGTACGGTAGATAATCGAACACATGTCCTCACCTCACCTGTTCAACTTTCATGTGTTAAGTGTAACTACCATCATTTGGTCTTTTAGGTTTAGGTTGATGTTAATGAATAATTCCCATCACTCAGAAGAGTAAGAACCTTTTGTACCTGAGTGATTTTGTTGTGTTGGTTCACTTCTTTGTTTCTGAGTTTATTTTCTCTTCATCTTTTAAAGTGATTTTATATGAACCAGCCGATGGAACAGTGACCATTTTGTCACGTTTGGACAAAAAAATTATCAGACTGCCACGCCAACAGTAAATTTTGTCAAACTGCCACGCGGCATAATTCGCTACACAGTGTAGCGAATTATGCATGCAAGTAATTCGCTACACAATATAGCGAAATATGTCACGTCAGAACCAAAAAGTGCCATGTGTCAAAATTGTTGAAATTCGCTACCCTATGTAGCGAATTTCAACAATTCTGACATATGACACTTTTTGGTTCTATGCCTTCTAACGTAGCATATTTCGCTACACTGTGTAGCGAATTACTTGCATACATAATTCGCTACACTGTATAAAGAATTATGCCGCGTGGCAGTATGAAAAATTTTACTGTTCGCGTGACATTCTGATAATTTTTTTGCCAAAGCGTGGCATTTTGGTCACGATTGTCTCGCGGTAAATCAGTCACTTTATAGTTCAGTTTTATAATGAAATTGAATGACAGACCAACTTAAATTGTTTAAAACTGCACAAAATTGATTGAATCATCTGTAGGCTAATCATTCAAGTAGATAAAATTTCATGATTTCTATTTTATGAATGCTGTCATAAAGTTTATAATTATTGTGTAAATTATTTTTTATAATATCATCAATTTTATTAATTTGTTAAACCAGTTAAACATAAAGTATATATAACCCTTACTATTTTCGCTGTTCCATTCAACTTTAACAATACTTTTGAAATAATCAAACAAAATAACATTTGAAATACCAAACAGTTCATCCACAGTTGCTCACCAATCGAAAATTATTTTATTATTTATTCATTAGAACTAATTCTTGAAAACACACATCGCCAGAGAAGGTTTTATCATGTTGATATAACGTTACAGTCAATATCAGCTCATTTCTTTCTATCAGTTGCTTTGGTTTTTCCCACAATCTAGCACCCCTCAATATCTTTGCATGGACAATTGCTTTTGTTTAGTTTCTATCAAATCAAGATAGATCATGTCAATTTAACAATTTTTCTTTTTTGCATTGATTTATATATAATCTAATAACTTACACACGAATTTTGTACATTGTATTATTCATACAATGTCTATTCAGGGTACAGCACTTACTAAAGTTTTCAGTCATAAAACTTACAGAGTAGAATATCTAACTTCTCGGAGAAAAAGTTAATACCTAAAATTATATTCTTTCCTTTCCAAGCGCCAAGATTTCTATGAAATAATAATCCTTCTTGTCATCAAAATTCTACTTACAGGTTGACTAAAATAATAATTACAGTAAATATACATGTATAGATTTACAGTATTAGTACAGGATAAGAGTTTTGCAGCAGCCGTAGATCCATAATAAATCCTATTGCTTCCTGACATCTTTTGACCATCTGCCACCCTGCACTAAATGTTTCATAAAGAAACAAAAAACATAGTGAGAAATGAAATGCTACCAAGTATTCATAATGGATCTCAAAACAAATAAACAGTATATTATATGCAAGTATATGGTTCGTCAGGGTTATTCATAATAAGTCAGGGTTATGGCTCGTCATTTGCTAAGACCAACAATTAATGGCATGTTAGTATTATCTGAACCGAGTAAGAAATAAAAGTATGAAACTGTAATATTACTACTGCTGACAGGAATGCAGACTGGCAAAGATTCCCCGTGGAGCCAAGAGTGGATTGTATGTAATTTTACCTTTATATTTTTGCCAAAAGGTTGTTTCCCAGACTTGAATGTGTGACCCTTACCACTACTCCAAAACTTGCTTTCTTTTTTACCTCTATGTAATCCACAATAAATTATATGCAATATCTACAAATTACAAATATGTATTACACTTAATCTATGACTCATACAAACAGGTGAATAATTATTGTTGGACATATTACCGTCTTAACATGAAGTTCATATAAGTAAAACGGAAATTGTAGAGTTTTAAGATACTAACCAGGAAGAACATTGAGCTGTTTTTCATTTTGAACAAAATCAATGCAGGCACGGCTAGACATTTTGTTGTAGTGATGTGATCTGTATTCCACGTTTCAAAAGGGATCTGTAAGCTGGACTTCTTGACCATTCATCAATTTCACTAGCACGCAGAACAGGCAGGGGATGTGATAGTTGCCTTGTTTGTGCATTCCTAAGCAGCAGAAAAAAGTTTAGCTTCGAAATAAAAAAGTTGCAACCCAACTTTTCTAGTGGCCTTCACATGTCACTACAAACCTTATGTACCACCCAACCGGGCTGGAAGCAGCTTTTTCATAAGAGCGAGCTTGCTCCAGGAATGCATCCACATTTAGTTGATCAGCCATAGATGGGCATCCCCCAGCTAATTTCATGAGAACCGAGATGACGACCTCTTGTAGGGTTGGCAAATGAAAATTTTATAATTAAACCAATACACAATAGGGAAGTTATAATTAAACCAGTCTACGGAGCCGTGTGGTGAGCACAGAGCGAACTATTCGTTTGCCTTTTACTAAAGATTATGAAGTTTGACATTAGCATACCTTAGGGTCTTGAGCAACTAGAAGAGCAGCACGGTCACAAGTCATCTCAGCAGCTCGAAGCCAGCGGAATAATTGCTCTTCCAAAGTCCGAGCTATCATACCACCAATGCCTACAACAAAAGCCCAAGTTATGAAAGAATAATTCGGTAGAACAAAACAAACATAGTATGAAAATATTGCTTGTTCTAATCAACATTAAGACAAGCGTTACATATATATCTATTTTCAAAATAAGCAACGCTTTCAAAGGTGAAAGAAAATGTTTGAAAATATGGCATTATAGACAATTGTTCATGGTTGTTATATTTTTTTGGATTTCTCTACCGGTTCATCGATGACCTGAGCATGATTACAAGGACGGGAAAACTCTCCCTATGGTTGTTATACTTAACTAGTGGTAAGAGTGACATGGATTTCATCCCTTGTTCAGTCTACGGGAGTCAGACATAAAGTGCTTCTCCAACTGTGATCTTCCAACATAGTTAACTACTTCACCATAATGTATAACATAAATTGATGTGTGTGTATATACACATTATAAAATAAATAAATAAATAAATGCTCCATATCGCCTACCAGGTACAGTATACGCCCCAAGGGTTAGAATATTTGCGTATGTAAGCCACACTCCATGATCACATTTTAGGTGACCCAACTCATGAGCCAAAACAGCCTGTTAAAGTAAACTGATGACATGTTAATAGCATTTTAGAGCCAGGTCAATGGATACGACAGAAAAAACATGGTTTGACTAACAAATTGATCAGGCATATTGGAAGATACGAACAAATATATCATGTAAAGGGGGGAAACTACATCCAACATCATTTATCTCAAACTCTAACTTCCAATATCTTATTGCTTAAGGACCATGCAGATCTGAGAGAAAATTTCCCTTGATGCTAAACTAGATAAGAAGTTGGGTTGAAAAATTAAAAACATGTAACGACGAAATGAATTAGAACCTGAAACTCTGCTCTTGTCAGGAGCTCCACAAGGCTAGTATGAACAACAACGAATGGTCGTTTACCAGTTATAGCTAATGTATATGCATTTGGCACAGGACTTTGACGAACATATAGATCAGGGGCCTCAACATTTAATATGTCAGCTGCTTCCACCATTAAGTGGTGAAGATCAGGAAGCTGTGACACAAGAAGAAAAGTTTAGTTACTTATGAGGTGACAGTAGACAGGAACAACTGAGCAGTAAACATAGTTGGACTATTTGTTGATCCAAGTTTCATAAAATAAAAGCTGACTTCATATTAACATTGTTGACTTGCATACGGAAAAATTGACAGACTTACAAGTAATTAAAAGATAAATCAACATCAAAATCAACAACACCTTTATCCCAAATTAAATTAAAAGATAAATATTGTACCAAAAAAAAAAAAAGATAAATCATGTCATACAGCTCAACTGGGTGGAAATGACAGAATTAGGAAATTTGAAGTACATATACTTAATCAGAAGATTCAGAACCACCATTGCTATGTTGGTAACAAATAGAGGGAGTACATAAGCAATGGAATGAACACTGATTCTACATTTTTTGAGAAAAATAAATGAAAGTGGAGTTCACCCAGATTATTTTAAAGCTTTACCCACATGCATGTGTTTTTTCAAATGCATAGACATGGACATATTTAAACTTGTTTACATATATAAATGCATACACATTTTTGTCACGATGGTATCTTTGTCTTTCTGCATATAGTAACACTGGATTACAACAAAACCCAGAACTTCCACTGAGAGGTGAGGACTACTCAATGCAGGTACATATATCAATTAATATCTGCAAATAATTCTCTTTATCGAGTACTCCTTGAAGAAAATTTATTTTACTGAGTGTTGCGGATACCTGATTTTTAGAAACAAGGACAGATGTCCCTATGTTCTCAAGGAGCATGACTTGCTCTGTTACAGTTCCTGTAATTCATTTTCAGGGAACCATGTCATAAAGCAGCCTTGCCAATTTATAGTGCAAGACTATACAAACATATCATTGAACATAAGGCACTCGAGTAACTGGAACAAAAGCTAAGTCTACGAAAGAATGCATATACAACAACAAAAGCATTTTTGCACTAGGATTTGAAAGCATGCATTTAAGCAGCGAAAATTCATAATTTGTGCAGCACATAGTCGTGGTGTTTTGTGCCTCATATGTCCAGTTGAACATATTCAGACAAATTCACTATTTATTTGGAAAAAGAATAACTACAGCATAACCGTGCACACACTATCATGAACAAATGGAGAGTCATTGCTATTAAAGATACAATAAAACCATTTTTGGGCCTCCACCTAAAAGCTTAAATTAAGTCTTGATTACCCATTGTTGACGCCAATGGTTCCACAAAAAGTACGAAGCAAGTAGTGGCTATCTGTGTGTGGAAATACACAGGGTGACTTTTTCTACTAACTAGAATAATTTGGGCACAGATACTTGCATAAACTATGTTAGTATGAGCACAGTCTGTACTGGACCATTAAGAAAGAGTTATAGTGAGACTAAATTGTTATCCAATGACCTGCATTGAAACATGTGAGGGGTATGGGAGTACAAGAAACTCTTGTATACCAGTGCACCCAATTTGACCAGTGCACCCAATTTGAGTGCACTAATGACTAAACCGATGAAGTATTGATGAGTTATTCCGTATTAATACACAAATGAACGTAATGTTATTTAATAAGCATTAACAATGTCTTAATACTTTATTGGCTTAGTAGACCCAAGATGGGTTTCTTGTGAGTATAATTTTGTGCAAGTTTCATTACTCGATTGTTAGAATATCTAAAATATAGAAATCAAGATTATGTCTTAATATACTTCAAAATTTCCTAGAGGACCTTTTAGGATTAGTTTCTCTAATTCTTTATATTTCATAATTTGTTTCCTTATTTTAGGAATCCCCTATTTAGTATAAATAAGAATTAGTGCTTTGTCTTTTGTATTCACATGAATCACCATAACATTCAATTTCTATTATTCTCTATATCCTTTCTCCTTCATCTATACCTAAAGCCCTATAATTTCAACTCAATGAATTTCCATCCTGCACTAGAAAAGAAGGGCAAGAAAAACCAATTTAGAAGTTGTCAAGGAAACCACTTGTTTTAACAAAAAGGTTAAACCCCAAGGGTTAGCTCAAGCAGCAATATGAGCCCTAGGACAGACAAATTGTCGAAAGAGTCAGGGTTCGAAGAGGACATTTAGGGTTAGAGCTGGATAATTGTCAAGTCGCTCGACTCGGGATTAGTCCCATGACCCACCCCAAAGGGGTAGTTAGGGTCATGGAATCCAAAATAAAATAAAAATAAAAAGGTTACAAAATTGAAAACGTAAGCAAAACCCTCCATTAGTTCCACAAATATTAAACATCATAACACAAATTCAAATTTGCAAGATATTCTAACAATCAGTAAAACAAAATTGACGAAGGAAAAGTTTCCCTACCAGCTACTACAACAGAAGCAGCATGTAATTTATATTGTCATGAAAACCAAAGCCGACCCAAACATTTCAATACAATCCGATGGTAAATTGCACTACTTAGGACACAGAGGCATCATTTTATTACCTAGAAGAGCTTTTCCCAATTCATTTAATCCCGGAATTGCTCTCAGTATCAGCGTATTCTGAAGATTAAAAAAGAAAACCAAACCACAAAACATTAGTGCTTCCCAGAAAAAACAAAACAAGGAAGAGAAACATAAGCAAAAACCAGTTAAACTCAAAAATTCAGAGCTTGAAATTCCATTTTTCCAAACAAAGTAGCAAACTTTTAAAGGCCCGTGAAGAAATTCGAAATTGGGCACACCTGTTTATCAAGAGGGTGGCGAAAATCATCGGCGTCTAGGTCTCGGAAAGCAACAGCAGAACCTGCTCTGCAAACGGGGATTCCAATTTTCCGAACCCTTCCGAACCTGATCGCCGAACAGCCACCACCGAACCTCAATCTGTCCGAAGCTACGAAGCCGAGGCAGAGAGTGGAGAAAGGCATGGAAGCCATTGAAGAAGCGCGGGTTAGCTTCGGAGTGGTGTTTTACTCGTTCAGAGCGAGGTTGGGGTAGCAACGCACACCGTGACTCATATCATATGATCTTTGAGGTTCGGTTGCTTAAGATTGTTGTTAACGTAAGGCGAGTTCTGACCACAGCCGTACCTATGGTGCCTGTTTTCCCCCACTTCATTTTCCGTTGACTTTCACAGATTAATTAACAAATGGGAGCGGAGCTTTTATTCACCCCTTCTAAGAGCCCGTTTGTTTGCATTTTGAAAAAAAATTATTTTTTATTTTTTTTTATTATAGAAATTTTTTTTACTAAAGTTAAAGCTATTTATATTTTTATAAAAATATTTAAATTTTGAAAAAAATATTTGACTTTTGACTTCTACTTTTTTTAGAAGTTAAAATTTTTAACTTCAGAAAAAAGTAAGTTTTTGACTTTTTTTGTGACTTCTTCTCTTTTTAAAAGCAGACATCCAAACGAACTAAGAATGAAAAATACTTATTTTCAAAAAAGAAGAAGCAATTTTTGGAAAAAAAAAAAAAAAAGTCCCTCCAAACGAGCCCTAAGATAAGTTACTGAGTTGAACTGCATTCACATGTGTTACTAAAATATTATTGTAAAAAACTTGATATGTGTTGTTCGTTAATATGCAAATACGATGTTGAGTCGCATTTTCTTGATTAATTATGTTTTTAATTTGTAGGTTATTTTTTGGTATTATGTCATTGTTTTATTATTATTATTAATTGGTGAATCCTAATATTTAATACAAAGATTATTTATGTGATGTCAATTTACATAATTAGTGGATTATGTTGGGGTTCAGAATACATAATATTGTGTCTGTTAACTTATAAATTGAGCGAATGACGTTCATGTCGAATGTTTTGACACAAATCTTTATAGTATTTGCGTCAAATCTCAACTCAATAAGAACATACAAATGAAAATTCAGGTCGTTATATGACACAAAACACAAATACGAATATATTCAATATGAATATCATATGAATTTAAAATCGAGTTAAAAGTTTTAATACAAATACATTCAGCACGACTATGAATGGTCTTTGCCAAATTGCAACAACTTTAAGCACACTTTGCATTTTTTAAATCATATCTCTTTAAATTTTTATTAGTCACTGGGAATGATAGCAAATATAAAGAAGACCAAAGTAGCTTCCTTGGGTAGTGATTTTGATGTTGAAAAAATTTGTAAACTCTGAGCAAAAATGTATTACATGCATGCCCGCAAAATCTGACACAATTTGGACCAAAGTAGCTACTTTGGCTAGCGATTTTGGTGCTGAAAAATTCTGACTCATAAGCAGGCTCTAAGTAGCTTCAATGGGAAAGGACTATGGTTCCCAAAGTAGCTACCCTCTTTAGCGACTTTGGCCAAATACACATACCAGGCTTTTCTAACCGTCGGGGAACATCACATGGCGAGGTATAGTCTCTAGGTTGTGTAGCGACTTCACAACGTGGCATTTTGGGGAAAAAAAAAGAGGATATGTGGCATGTCAGTACAATTGTAACACTCGGCAACTTGCAAGGATCAATGATTGTCTCCACAAATTAATACGAGACTTTTCAGCGTGTTTTGTCATCGCTCACACATAGGGATGTTAAACGAAGCAGGGAGCTTTCAAGGGTCTTTGATCCGGCTCGTGAAGGCCTAGACTAACATGTCTAAAATTGATTGTTGGAATCATATTTGGACTTGTATAAAAACTCGTTTAATAAAAAGGTTTCAGGCTCCAATTCAAAAGTCCGACCAAATAGCCTCTCAGGTTGGTCTAGTATACAACTTTTATTTTTATTTTATATTTTTTGTACTACTCATAATAGTCTCCTCTCTCTCCAACCCATTTCACTCTATTTTATTGATTAAACATATTTTTTGAATGATTTTATTCTATATTATGTTGTTCGAATATACATTAAATTTATGAATCTTTATGAATTTGTTAATGCACTTTTGAATGTCATCACAGATGGTAAGAGGCAAAACCGACGTTTGCATGGAATTACGTTGACAGTGCATTCAAGATGGCTTTAGCCGAGGTCACTCTGCCAGCAAAAGAGAGCGAGTTTTGGTTCCAGCTAGTTAGACGCGAATTAAGACGTTGCAGAACGTGATTAAAAGAACTTCTCGTTGCACTTTAACTATGCTCTAGAGAGAATGATCACTTGCATGTCATTGACCTATGTTTATATATGTACGTGAACATGACCTTTGCTAATTCTTTGGGTTGTGAAAAAGGCATTGCCAGAGGATGTGGTTGGCAGAAGCTAGGTGCATTTGTCAATCTTGGATCTTATTATCTTGTGGGCGCTCCCTTTGCAGCTGTGTTAGCTTTTGTCCTCCATATGAAAGGACAGGTAATATAAGATTTAACAAAAATGTTATCATGTGTCGTTGTAAATTTATTAACTTGAAGCTAGTGCTTTTGAAATGAACTTGACTTTTCAAAAAACACAGGGACTCTTCTTAGGGATTATTCTTGCACTTATTGTGCAAGTGGTGTGTTTTATTGTCGTCACCTTAGGCACCAATTGGGAGAAAGAAGTAAGTCATATCTTGACTCAGTTTTTGTTTTCAACTTTGAAACTTAACAGCAATATCTTCTCTGTTCAGGCAAATAAGGCAGCAATAAGAGTACGAGGCAATGGAGTTCAAGCTGCACAGCCAAGTGACCAAAATGAAAATCTTCAGTATAGTTGACGAGTAATTTTGCTTAGGTCAGAACCAAATGCAATATTTAGTGTATATTTTTCTCATGATAAAATTATTTAGTATATAAAAAGAAGGGGTTGTATTTTTTCATGCAACATAAAAGGAGCTTTTCTCCTACACACACAATCAAGTGGGCCCACTAGTTTAAATAAAAAAGGAAAATGAAAGAAAATATTGACACGAAAATCGAGCTCTCACTAACATGAGAGATGGCTATTCCTACAACATGAGATTTATTTATCCCTAAAAAGAAAGTACCGCTCTAGTTGTGATTATTTTATTTTTTTTAAGATATTTCAATCAGTTCATCGTTTTGTGACTAGTCTGATTCAGGGTGGATTCCAGGATTAAGACTTTAAATCCCTTTCAAATATGATACTGAATCGAACACATATTTTTATTTTTGCCTGTTCAGTTTCCTGATGCTAACTGAATTATCATTATTTGATGTAACAGTTGTGGTTATGATTGGTCATTAAATAGATAAAGGAGTACGAGGCAATGGAATTCAAGGTGATTCACATGCGCTACCAATACCGTATTCATATGAAATACAGTATGGTTCGGAACTTGTGACGTATACGTACGGAATTAACATTTGCATCTTAATCTCCAATGACAGAATTTTGCATCATTACATTACACATACATACTACATGTAAATTTATTTTCAACTATACACCTCCATTTTCAAACTAATACAACATATTTCTTGCTTCAATCAACTCGTTTTTATTCTTGAATTCATTATCACATAAATAGCCTCAAGTTAATGGCTAAAAAGGGATTATAATAAGCTCAAATTCTAGGAGTAGCGAGCTCTTGCACAGGATAAGCCTCAAGTTGATTTGACTGTATGCATGAGTTGTTAAAGATTCTGATGTAAAACCTTTGGTATCATTTAAATTTTGAGGAACATAAAATTATTTATGTAACTTCTAACTCATTTAAACATACTTTAATAGGTTTGCTTTTTCTGCAGTTACAGCAGATAACTTATCTGCAGTAAGTCAATACGACGTCGTTTTGGGACGGAAATCATGGTATTTTTGTAATTTTAATTTATTTCAGGGTTATAATAATCTTTATATTTATAATTTTTTAAGATTTCAATACCAAAACGACGTCGTTTTGGGAATAAATGCAGATAACTTATCTACATTAACTGCAGAAATATTTTTCCCTACTTTAATATATATAAATCTTGCTTTCTAAAAATTATTAAACTAGCTAAATATTATCCCTTACAACTTTATCACATCATTAAGTATTAAAATATTAAGGTGTTACACATAGACCTATTATTATTTATTTATTTTAGTAAGAAGACCTATTTTCGAATGGTCCTGCAAAATGACAACCAAATTGCACCCCCAACATACAAATCTGCATCCATATATTTAGGAGTAGAATCCGGGTTGACATGACATAAATACATTAAATACGAACATGACACAAATTTTAAAGTAAGCCAAAAAAATTTATATGAATACGACCTCTTTTTTGTGTGGTTAACATGACAAGATATAAATAACTCACCAACCTCAAAATATTTCATCTATTATGCGAGTTACCACAATACGACATAAATATCACCCATTGTCTTCAAATAACAATCTTAAAACAATTTGGTGTTTTGAACCTGTGACAAGTATATTCTGTTTTTTGTTTTATATATTGTTTTTGTTCTTATTTACTGTGAGATTAATTCATGTGTGATTAATCTGTGTGATTAATTTCGGATTCTGTTTGTTTAACAGAAATGGCTACTGCAAGTACAAACGATGCCAATCTTACTGCCTCTGTTCCAATGCATGCTGACAAACCTGAAAAATTAAATGGGACAAATTTCAAACGTTGGCAACAGAAGATGTTGTTTTATTTGACAACACTGAGTTTGGAACGTTTCCTCAAGGAAGATGCTCCTAAACTGGATGAGGGAGAACAGCCTGACAAGGAAAAGGTTGCTGCCATTGATGCATGGAAGCATCCTGACTTCCTTTGCCGAAACTATATTCTTAATGGTTTAGACAACACATTGTATAATGTGTATAGTACCCTGAAAACTAGTAAGGAACTATGGGATAGTCTGGACAAGAAGTATAAAACTGAGGATGCTGCCTTAAAGAAATTCATAGTTGGCGAATTCTTGGACTTCAAGATGCAAGACTCCAAATCTGTTGTGAATCAAGTGAAGAATTTCAAGTGATTGTGCATGAAATTCATGCAGAAGGAATGTCTCTTAGTGAGTTTTTCCAAGTTTCTGTTTTCATAGAAAAGTTACCAAATTCTTAGAAAGATTTCAATAATTATCTCAAGCATAAGCGCAAGGAATTGTCACTTGAAGATCTGATTATGAGATTGAGGATATAGGAAGATAATAA